GAAATACAGCCACCTATCATCGTATCGTCCATTGTTTCAAAAAGGCGCACTGCGACAATGGGGCATCCTTTGAAAAATTCTTAAAGGGATTCGATATTCCGGAAAAAAAAGGCGCGCCGTCTAAGACCCGTCCGTATTACATTTTTGTAATACTTATAAAATTTTTACACTTATACCTATTGTTTCATTGAAAAATTAAATATTCTACAAAAAGTATAATTTTGTGTAATTTTTTTTATAAAACGAAACCGAACATTGCAACGTTTGAACTTCGCCCACTTTGTTTTGTTTTTCAATCATGCATTAATTATTGTAATATTATTTTTTCTTTCTAGTTATTACCCGCAAATTATTCATGTGACCAGTCTAAAAGGTAACCTATGTAGCTCCTCAGATTTAATAATAATTCGTTCAGCCGTTAAGAGGTAACATACAAATAAACTCACTTTCACATTTATAATATTAGTATCATATTTTCATCAACATTTTATTTCTTATCATCATCATCGTCTCAGCTGTTAATTGTCTACTGTTGAACATTGTGCTGTCTCATAATTTGATAGTTCAATTTCAATTTTTTTTTCTTATAGCTCATATTTTTTTTTATAGGTGATAAATCCGCGCTATCGGTATACACCGGCGGGGCATCAGTGAAGGATGATAAGCGAGGATAAAGGTCAGTTAGCCCATCGTGACGAATTCAACGAGAATTGTCCACGATGGTTTCTAGGGAGGTTGACCTGATAGGGCATATTGCTAGCAATGGGGCTGTCAAACTCCATTGCTAACAGTCTATTCCCCCCTATAGCTCACATTTTTTTTTGATGGATGAAAATGGTATGGTAACCCCGCCTGCGCGAACGGTATACGCTTGCGGAGCACCAGTGAAGGGTGATAGATGAGAATGAAAACAGGCCAGTTAGCCCATCATGATGAATTCATCAGGAATTAACCATGATAGTTTCCAGGGAGAACCACGAGGAGGTCGACCTGGTTAGGTATATTGCTAGCAATGGGATTCTCAGTCTCCATTACTAACAATCCCTTTCCCCCTTATAGCTCATATTAATTTTATAATAAGTATTAATGAGCTAAATTCTGTGTCAAGATGTTTGAATTTTGTTATTTACTTTATTATGTTTAATTGGATAAGAGGTTTTAATAAAATTTGATTCACAGATATATCCTAGATGAATAAAGGTTACTTTTATTAGAATTAATGCAAACTTAGTTTCGTATTACAACAAGTCATGTTAGAATGTTGTAGCTTAGAAATAAATAAGTAGGAGTTAACAAAAGGGCACGTCTTGAAAGTCAACAAACATTTGCCGTTTAATACAGAAAATTAAAAGACACTATTGTCGTTGTGTGTTGCTGAAACATTAGCTCTTGAAAAGGCGATATTTAGAGCTTACATGGCGTCTTTTCAAGAGCTAGATAAATGGTAATAGCGGTAAAACAATATGATAATTGCGCGACTCTGTTAAGGTGACCGACTTGCTTAGTAATTAAAATACTTTTTTTTATAACCTAGTTTTTTTTATCTAGTTTTTAAGATCTATCTCATAAAAAAATATATGATAAATACGGTAGCGAACCCTCTTTTTTATTATAAAAAGTAATAATGGATTTGTAGTGTCGCGTATACACTTACAAAAAAAACCTAACTACCTACTAGGTAAGTAACTGAATATATTTGGGATAAAACAATTCGGATTGTCTTTTGTTTTTGAAATGAAAATATAAATGATTGTAAATCATTATATATAGAGGGAGTTATTTTTGAAAACCAAAAAATGGAAATTTGCAACTGTACATAATAATTTCTAATAATATTCTATTCTATTGTATTTTAGGTTTTGGAAAAATATTTCTACGTAAATTTTCTTGAAATTGATAAAATAGTTTAACCGTTGTCTAAAATACAAAACCCAAAAACAATGTTTATAAATTTATTTTTCTTCTACTCGTATAATATAACTTCTAAATCATTTGAAAAATACAACCTTAATGTAAAATTATATTCGTTATCGTCCGTACAATGTTTTGGTGCTTTGATATATATTTTACAAAATAATTTAAAAGCTCGTTAAGCCCAACAAGCCGATGGAGGGCGTATTGTGTTTAGACTCTGGCATCCAGGTAATTTGCATTTAGAAAACATAGGTACGAATTTAAAGCGGACAATTAAATAAGCCACGCAGTTATAAATGAGTTTAATTCAATTGTTTCTAACGAAATTTTGTATATATGCTGGACATCATTTGGAAAAGTATATATATAAAAGTCATTAGGCCTATTATTATTTTTTATATTTTATTTTACTTTTCTATTCTAACAATATATATCAAATTAGTATGAAATAAAACAAAAAGTACACAATATATACTTTAACTTTACGCATGTTTTTTCTCACTTTAATTCTGTAACTCCAATTATGTTAAATAAGATGTCAATGATGAATGTTAAAAATATTAAACATAAGAAGTATAAGTGTTGGCTTCAGTCTGCATCTTATATTCCTGATTTGGATGAATACAATCACATTGCAACAACGTCTCATTCAGAACGAAGGTGTAGTTATTTATTATAAAAAGATATATAACGTGATTATATATGATATCATTGGTATATATCGCCCACCTAGTCATAATAGGAACAATATATATCAGTATTAACAAAAAGTCGAATTATTTAAAATGATGAATGTGGAGGAAATGAAAAAGATGCGTCTGAATGGAAGCAGTTGGCGTTTCATTGTTTCTGCTCATCCCAATGAGAAACATGTGACAGATATGTATGTATATATATATATATATATATATATACCTAATCCAGTAAAATATATTTATATATAAAATATATTTTACTGGATTAGGTGTTATTTTGTAAAACAAATAATCAGTAAGTTAAAATAACTTTTGTACCTATGTCCATTAGTACACAAAAAATATCGACGTTTATAATGGCAAATGACTTGTGTTTATTTAATTGGTTTATTTTGTTTTAAGTTCCAAGTACCAGTTATTTTGATTTAAGAACTAAGCTACGGAACCGATATTGATAATATTTCTATGGGAATTGATCTAAAAGTGTACCCTTTTAAATAAAAAAGTAATGGAGTTATGAGGTAATAAATATAAAAAAAATCACGAAATTGAGAACCAGAGGGAGACTTTGTACAAAAGTCGATTGCTTGGGTACCACTGTCCTATTCGTGTTTCAACCGTGAAGCAGTTGTGTTTGCATGGCTGTGTTTCGGTTTGAAGGGTGGGATATGGCGTAAATTTACTGGGTACAGAGGAATAACACCTGAGTCCTCAGGAATGGCAACGCATGGGGATATCATGGGCGAAACAGTATACTCTGTTATGTCCATGGTACAGCTCATGTCTATAGGCGACGGTTACCACTTTCCATCAGGTGGGCCGTCAGCTTGTTTGCCATTCTAAGTTGTATAAAAAAAAAGAACATGTTCCTTTTTAAAAAACCGCTTGAAAATATCATCTTTACAAGTAAAGCGAAATTAATCATTCTATAGTGGAATTATCTAGACAGTTAGACTATAGGCTGTACTGAAATAACTGACAAACACATATGCATATAGCTTAATTACTTTTTTTAGCAATCGGACAATTAAAATCTAAAAGATACCGTCTAAACAAAAGTATAATTACTTGACCACTAATAAGAAATGTATGTAGGTAGATAGATAGATACTCTTTATTGTTTCCTCCAAAAGATTACAATAGTAAACTTATTATAAATACAAATGATTACAAGAAATAATCACAATGAGAAAACAATGGGCGACCTTATCGCTAAGAGCGATCTCATCCAGGCAACCTTTGGATGGAGAGGAGTAATTTGATATCAAGTCCAAATGGTATAGATTGGAGACAAGTATAATGTCGGCCATCTTAATATTTAATAATCACTTAAGCAGCCCCAAGTTGCTTTATAACATTAATTTATTATTAACCCTATAATGTGTTACAACCTCGAGCTTGTTAATTATGTATTATTACAAAGACAATATACTCGTGCCACAATAAGAAAACTAGTTACTGACTCGGATCGTCATCATTTCAACCATTAAATGTCCAATGGTGAATATATACCTCTCCTATAGACTGCCATAAAGAACGGTCCTGAGCTGCTTGCCTCCATTGACTCTTTGTAATGCATGTAAATGCGTCCCTCCATCTAGTAAGGGATCATCCTAAACCGTTTGTGGCTATACAAAGTCGACTACTCAAGAGAGAAAAAAACTATTTTCCCTATCGACTTAATGAAATGAAATTCCGAAGTTTCGGACTCAATTTCGTGTTTTCGTTCATACCTAAATCGGCCCAGTAAATGGAGCTTAACATTTCGTTCGTCATAAATCCTACCATAAAAATCCAAAACAATAATATTTTTAATGTTTTTAAACGGTAAATATTATGTAATTTTAACTTTAAATTTGTGTTTCGTTCGGTTTCGAAATTTCGGAAAACATTTCATGGTAGGCCCACAGATTCCTATCTTCGGGCAACTTTGATTCTTCTGCGGATATTCTCATTTCAGATACTATCACGCAAAGAAACTCTAAGCATAGTCCTCTCTATAGCTCGTTGAGCAACTTGAAGCTTTTATATACAGCCAACCGTGCATTAACTTGGATGATAATTGACATTGGTCTCTCCTGTAAGGCGGGTTTCGCCAGTAGTTGACACTCTTGGTAAGTGAGTTGCCAACCGTAGTTAGGCTTTGGTAGTGTTTTTAGAAGAACGCTGCTGCTTATCCCTTGATCTTAATAGTCAAGGGATGAGCAGCAACGCCAGTTGCCTCTTACGAAACACATGGGAAAGGAAGAGGTTTAAAAAGTCTTGGATACCAAGGCTTAATAATGGTCGTCTTTACACTTAGACGCCACCTGTTTTATTTTATATCACACTATTCACCATCCCCAGAAGTTGTCGGGCAAATATGCAATAGAAACGAGATCGCTTCTTTTACTTACAATTACTTAAATGTTTTTTCTTTTTATGTACTTTGTTTTTGTGACTGCACCAATATTGATATAACAAAGTTTTAACAATAATTACTTTTCTGCTTACGTTATGAGGCCTGTGGTCAATAGTGGAAGCTTAGAAGGATTAATAAATCACTGTGACATCATATCATTCTGGGAGGAGGGGATTGTCATAGTTAGTAGAATTAAATAGCATACAGTGGGATAAATATTATCCTGGGTGGAGGGGATTGTTAGTAATAAGAAGTAGTGATCCCATTGCTAGCAGTATATCCTGTCAGGTTGACCTCCACGCCGTTCCTCTGGAAACCATAGTGGTTAATTCACGACAAAGTCATCATGATGAGCCAACTGACCTGAGTTCTTTCCATCTTTACCTTATAATCTTTCACTGGTAGTCTACCAATGTGTGCTAATAGTACAGGTTACCATTCTGTATCACCCTTCGATAATATAAGATTATGTTCCAAAAAATGAAATCGACTTTATTTGTAGCAAAACCAGTTATTGTGATTTAAAAAGTAATGAAACAATTCTATGGGACCAATCCGTAAGCATATCTTTTTAGATAAAACTTAATTTTCCAAATCGGTTTACAACTGACGGAGTTATGAGGTAAGGAACATAAAAAAATACAACCGAATTGAGAACATTCTTTTTATCGAAGTCAGTTAAAAAAAAATCTATTCTGATAACTAAGGTAAGCCTCCGCTCCCAGTAATTTCACTGGCACTATCTCGCCTTTCTAACTAGAACAGAACAATGCTAGCATACAGCTGTTGGCAGCAAAAACACGACTCAAACAATACAAACGTCTGTAATACAAAAGTCCATCTGTCTGTTTGCTTAGTTGCTAGGTGGTAAAATCCTTACTAATATTATAAATGTGAAAGTGAGTTTGTTTGTTTGTTACCTTACAGCATCTTAACGGGTTAACTAATTACTATACAAATTAGTATACACATACTATATGGTATGTAGAAGGATATAGGCTACTTTTTATTTCGGTCAGTAAGTAAGTTAATTGATGCTGTTAATTAAATGGCATAAAATGAGGACTTTTCAAATTTTTATTGTAAGATTAAAAAAAAAACTGTGTTACCACCATTGATACGAATCACACAATCACATCTACTTGGCGTACTTAAAATCAGTTTAAATTCTTTTTTGAAAATAAGTTTAAATTGACTGAACAGAATTAATAACGATAAAAAAAAAGTTAAAATAAAAATCCTTAATTGCGGCAATACTCGATTCTACCAAGTACTTGATCTTGATTTGACACTTTTGATGTGTGTAATTATTAATTAACATTCATATAATTAAAAAATTGCAGCCAAATTGAGAATTTTCTTTTTTAAATCACTTATTTTAAAACTTACATTAGTCAAACTTTACTAACATATGTAACGCACAAAGTCATGCATTATCATCATTAATTACTTAGCCGAAATTCCTAATATACAATAAAGTATACATTGGCGAGAATATATATTTTATTTGTACAGAGTTGACAAGCTATTAAATTAGGTTGGGCCTACAAACGAGGAACATCAAGCTACGCCGGCGAGCGGAGTTTACGAGCTAGGGCGAATGGCTAAATATTCCAGCCTAATTGATGGCGGTCGAACACCGAGCCGGCCACGTTACTCCTCGTAATGGCTCAAAAATGATTGAATGCTTGAAAAAAGTTTGTATATTGAAAAAGTATAAAAAAAAAATATAATTTTTCTTTCTTAATAAAATTTTGAACCTAGTTAGAGTTCAAAATACACACAATAGTGTAAGTCACAATGTATAGATATGTTGTGTAACACAAGAGTTTGCACAACATATCTATAGGTGACTACTGATAACTGAGAAGGGATTTCTGAACTTCCCAAAGAAATGGAAATAATAGGTTGTCGTGTGCGAGAAATTGGGAAATAATAATAATCAGCACTTTTCTTTGATAATAATAAGATTGTCCTTTCCTAATTATACCCAATGTGTAATTAAGAAAGGAAAGTTTGTGATTGTCGATCCTTACAATGGCTGACTGACTTTCCTCCAATCCTAGGAAAGGGGTGCTCTTCCATTTCGTTCACGGTGCCCGTTTAGAATACATTTCGATTTGTCCACTAAAGTTTGTAAGTCGTGGTTAGTAGTTGAAGCAAAGTGTTTGAAAGAGAATTGTCTGTTTGTATTGGATTGAATCTCTCTATCTTTCGTTTATAATAGTGATGATGAATTTTTGACGTAATTGGATATTTTGACCCAAGTTAGTGTGAACTATAATGTTGGCTTTCTTATAATATAATTGAAAACAACGATGTCTGGCTCTTTTGTCATACTCGTGAACGGATGATGCTTGTAGGAGCATATATTATGTATCCATTCAAATTTCTATAGTTGGAAATAACATATTTAAAATAGATGTTTCTTACAAGATTTTTCATTGACACTTTAAAAATACTTTCGTACAAGTTTATATAAATGAATATTATTTTTTTATTATATTTTATTCTATAATCTAAGCCTATCAGCTCCAAGGTAGTATTCCCATCGCTATCTTCCAATATCAGCTCTTCCCAGAAAATCAACGAGAAAAATGTATAAAATTACTTATGCAATAACCTTCTATTGAGAGTTATTCCTGGAAATGTTATTAAGGCCTGAATACAATCGTATCCAACATAACTCATTAAACTTCTATAAAGAGTTTCTCTTTATTTGTATGTCCCTACACAAGCCTTTCCAAGGATTGAGTAAATTCTGTAAAATCAAAGATTTACATGTTACTGACAACTAATATAAAATAATACGATATGTTGGATTTAATACGAATTAATTAATGTTTTTGGTTTATATAATTTTATAACTATCTTTTTCTATAAAGTATTTATATTTTCCAATGTCTGTAGCATAAAAACAAATATTTTGTATACGGCAGTGAAATTACTTAATATTATAATCCTTAAGAATGGCTGAGGCTGAATTTTAATGAAAATTTTAATGAAAATATAACAAAGAATGAACCGATTTTAATATTCTAATGCAAAAATAAAACAACTTTAAAAAGGGCACATTTATTGTTGTATTTTCTTAAAAGAGGGGCTTGCTGAAAACCAGTGCTGTGCTATATACGTGCTAGTGCAATATGCACTGGGACACTTACAGCATCAGCTGAGCCGGTTCTTTTGCCGAATATGAGCTACTTCTTACATATAATATTTCTGTATTTTATATTGTACTATATATTTTTCTTACAATAAATATTTTCTATTCTATTTTATTCTAAATCTCTCTCTTCAGTCGTACACTCTTGGCAGAGTGGTCGTGGTTTTCACAATGACGGTGGATCGTCGGTGAGGCTCTCCTTCGCGATTGAGGTCCTCGCAGTATGTCTCCATCTACTTCTGTTCGCCGCCGAGCGAGAGCATTCCACAATAGATTTCTGTGTAGCCGTTTTGATGAGGTCAGTCCATCGCGTTGGCGATCTACCCCGAGAACGTTTGCCTTGTACCGCTATTATTCTAAATTATTCTAAATACCTCTATATGATTACTTAAAAAAAAAAATCGACGGCGATCTTTCTGTACATTACTGTTTTTGATTAACCATTATTATATATTTATATTTACAGCGCTATATATGAATGAATACATATCATATAAGAAAATTGGAAGCAAAATGATAAAAAGTCAAGAATCCAGTACTTAAAGTTATCCTGAAGTTACTCGAGTAAATGAGTCAACAGACGACTCACTTGAAAAGAACAAGAAGGGAGTTGCACAAGTTATTCGAAGTTATGACGACTGAGATAAAGTTTGCGTCTGTATGTGTAAAATATGATACATATTATGATATATACTATTGATATATGACAAGCATATTTTATTCCCTAAAATTAAAAATGGCGACTTTTATATTGTTACTAGCTGATCCAGCAAACGTTGTTTTGCCATATACATTATTTGGAGAATATTTTTTTTTGTCCATTAAAAAAAAATATCAGGGAGGGTCACCCTGATCATTGAGGGTATGAAAAATAGATGTTGGCCGATTCTCAGACCTATCCAATATGCACACAAAATTTTATAAAAATCGGTAAAGCCGTTTCGGAGGAGTTTGGTAACAAACACCGTGATACGAGAATTTTATATATAAGATAATAAACCGATGAACGAGGAGATATTTATAAATATTCCTCCTATCCCGTAGATATTGTCGGAGGCGACTAAGTGAACATAATGGTCGAGGAATGGGCAGCAGCGTGTTTTTTAAAACATCACCAAAAGTCTAACTGCGGTTCCCAACCCGCCTGTCAAGCATGAAAACTATTAACAAAACTCCCCTTATGGGAAAAGCTTATCGTTAGCAATGGACAGTTAATGGCTGAAATAAATAATTAATAATAGAATAACTAACGACATTGGTTTAGAATTTTCAATAAAATCGTGTAGCATAGGTAACTACAAAAATATCGCTTAAAAATCAATGACAGTACTCGTAAAATACCAATTGGAATGAGGGTTTTGGAATAAAGCTTCAATTAATAAACTCGTGCTGAAAGTAGAAAATGTTGATTGAATTTCGAAATACAGTGTCGGCGTAACCTCAATTGGTATTCGTCGTGTGTACGTTTATTTATTTCGACAAAAGGAGCCTTTGTTGGGCCGATATCGAGGTTTGTCATAGGTGTCAAGCGCGGAATTCGAGGCTCGATTTCGTATGAGTTTTTTTCGATTCAATTAACACTTTTGTCTTATTTGTATTCAGCAATGATGTTACAAAGTGAAATGTCTGTTTAGCTTTTACAGAAGGAAAAATAAATGTTTTAGTCGTAGCAAAATTAACATGGTTAATCTAAAACTGCTTTACAATTAAAACCACAAATATCTAATGATTAAAATAAAAGATTACGACCTCTTACATAGACATATTGGATTAAAAAATAGATATTTAAATTTAGGACGCAGAATCGTGTGTTTTCAAGTAGGTTTTCACAACAAGCAAGATTTAGCTCTGCACAGAAAAAAGCAGCATCAGTCTTGATAAAAAAATATACTTACACCTGTATTGTAAACCCTAGGTTGAGACATAACGAAGGTTACTTTAAATTAAATGCACATGCAGATATTGATTCCACCTGTAAAATATATTTAAATGATATTTTTCAACTTTGACGAAGCAATTTTTAATAATTGAACTGGTTCCACCATTCTATTTTCATCCATTAAAAAAAAAGATCATCATATAAAGAGAGCAGTATGTCGACTCTTCTCATAAAAATACTGATACAGATATATCACCCATATCTCCATAGATATGGGTGATATATGGATGGGTTTATCTCTATCTATGATCATCTGATCATAGATAAAGAAACCACAAGATAGATTCTATAATCCCCGCGGAATAATGATCATTAACTGCGTCCTTTTTTTAATTTTTGTTTTATTTTTTAATTGACCTTTGAATTTTTTATTGTTTATTTCTTTATTTTTTAATTTATAAAATATAGTAACTTATTTCAAACACAATTGTATGATTGTTATTGAATAAATAAATGAAAATGAATGAAATACTAGAGTTTAACAATAGAAATAGTATTAACATTTAATCTAATGAACAAAAGCATCAATTACAGTAAATTGACGACAAATAATGGACCACGGTCCGGATCACAATGTAAATTATTCCTTGTTCCAATTAATTTCCTTCTGGGAACGTATTTAAGATTACCTTAATTATTTGTTACGGTCAAATAAATATTCTCATTGTTATTTAAATAAATTAATTTGGTGGATTGTATTAAAGCCATTAATTTCATGAATTCTATTTACGCTTCGGACTCTTCGAACGATATTTGCGATTGTAATATAATAATTTAAAAGTCGTGTTTTAATGAGGATTGTAAAAGAGTGGAATTCTCTTCTTGCGTCTCTGTTCTCGAGAAAATAGGACATAGGACTCTTAAAATTGTCAGTAAATAGTTGTTTTTTCAAGAGCGCTTCATTTTAGATGTGGTTGACACTTTCTATCAGACTTTACCATCATTATCATCATATCAGCCGCTAACTGATTCATTGCTGAAGATAGGTCTCCCCCTGATAAAGAGGGGTTTTGCCAGTAGTCATCACGTTTGGCAGACGGGTTGGCAACCGCAGTTAGCCTTTTTTTTATACAGCTTAGAATGGCAGACAAGCTGACGGTCCATCTGATGGAAAGTGGTAACCGTCGCCTATAGACATCAGCAGTACCATGGACCTAACAGAGTATACTGTTTCGCCCATGATACCCCCCATGCGTGGCCATTCCTGAGGACTCGGGTGTTATTCCTCTGTACCCAGTAAATTCACGCCATATCCCATCCTTCAAACCGAAACACAGCCATGCAAACACAACTGCTTCAGGGTTGAAACACGAATGGGACAGAGGTACCCAAGCAATCCTTTAGTGATGTTTTAAGAGGGATGCAGCTGTTCATGTCTTAAGCCAAGTCAAGCTCCCTTAGTCGCCTTTTACGACACCCACGGGAAAGGAAATGGTGTGTACCGTGTGGTTCCGGCATCCAATAATATCCTATTCGATGCCGGGATTACACACAATTAACGCATTTACACGATAAGACATTATAATTGGTAATAATGGAATGGTAATCCTGCCTGGTTATCGGTAACATAGATGGGGCACCAGGGAGAGATGAAGATATCCCTACAGATAAAAAATATTTTTCCAAATCAGTTTATAAATGATAGAGTTCTGAGGTAACAAAAAATAAATTCAAATTGAGAACTCTCTCCTTTTATTAAGTCGGTTGATAAACTATAAAAATTATGAAAAGACTAATCTAAAAGTAATATACAAGTCAATCTTTGGCAATAAAGCATACAACAGTGTAATTAAATAATTTTATAAAAGTGACGTCACAGGAACTCGAGGAACGGCTCTCGAGGTAATTAAGTCATCGTCGTGTCGGTTTCGTATAATTGGATTACCGACTACGATAGCGCCCTCTTCACATAATCAGGTTATCGATTACAAATTATTTGTCCGAAGTGTGAAGGATTAGATGTTGGAAAATTATATTTTGTAACTAGCTTTTGCCCGCTACTTCGTACACGTATATTTAGGAAATAGTCAACTATTTCAAGATGGCCTATGGTGTGGCCATGGAGAGCCAATACCCACAATTAGGTATACAAGAAATCTACTGGGTCAGACGTATGGGGCCCTGGGTACACTCTAGAACTTGGTTGCTGCCTCCCTTATTGCAGCAGTATCGAATAAACTGGCTCACTCACCTTATATACCGATATGCTTTTACGGAGGCCGGCTGGCTGAACAGCAGCAGTTCCAAGATGGAGAATGCGTAGCAACGTGAACTGTCTCGTACCACAAGACACTAGAATCCACACACTTCACCAGTGAATAGTACAAGTATCCATACAGCTTTTGTCACAACACAAAACAGAAACGTTCAGGGTGCAACTTGAATGTAGATACTTTGCTTTGGGTTTATAAGTTTTTTAATTAAGCATTTTACGAACGGAGACATTCGCGCGCGTCGACATTACCGAACCGCGCGAACAAAAACCTACTGCAATACGGAATCGCAACCAAGTTACGGCCCAAACAGCCTATTAATATGTTCTATCTTGATACACTAGATTTTAAGTTAAACCGTTAGGAATATAATTGTGAAAACTACATTCGATTGCACGTACTAGGTCAATGTATCGCCTCACCAGTTTTTATATTATTTGCCTTTATTTGTATTTAGTATTAAAGATCATTCTTATTTTTTAAAATTTGTCAGTTATAACTGAGCCATTGGAAATATACATTTCCACAAACCTCGTCGTGTCAATCCAACCCGCAACACAATACAGTAACTATTGCATGATACCAAAACAAATAATTCTTTTAGCTTTTATTGGTATTACTAAGAGCCTTCATATTAGTTCTTAACTGTCTCTTACATACATATATCACTTAGTTACAATATTATTATATTAATTGGATTAATACGTTACGATGGTTTCTCACGAAAGTTCCTCAAGAAAATTCGTGAAATTGTGAATGGCTAACAAAGTGACAGCCACATATTGAAAAATGGTAAGTATAGCCTATAGACATAAACTGCTTTACCAACAATACTCCGTTATGATCGTGATTCTCCTTTTGGGTGTCCATTTCTGAAAGCTAATATGTTATAATAAACAAATGAACCGCTTGACTTCGTGCGAGTAGACGGGTATAAAATCTTTGTTGTTTTTTTTTTGTGGGTGATAATGGAATGGTAACTCCGCCTGCGCTATCGATATAAGCTGGCGGGGCACCAATAAAGGATGATAGATGACAATGAAAGCAGGTCAGTTAGCCCATCGTGACAAATTCCACTAGAATTAACTACGATGGTTACCAGGGAAAACCGCGTGGAGGTCGAGCTGACAGGGTGTATTGCTAGCAATACATCATGTCTACATCATCTCATGACTACATTAAAGTGTATCTATATCTTCTTTTCCCGTAGCAGCAGCCAGATATTGACATATTTAATGACAAAATTGATATATTTTTAAAATGTACTAAATTTGTAAGTTTGTAAAATAAACCTATGGCTCACTACACATTTTGGGAGACTGTAAGTGTGGTGAGTAATTTTCAAATAAATAAATGAGGCGACTAAGAGAACTTAATGGTCGAGGGATTTTTTAATGGGTGATAATGGAATGTTAATTCCACCTGCGCTATACTCGTAGGTATATGCTGCCGGGGTACTAGTGAGTGATGATATAGATAGATAGATAATTTATTTGCATTACTTACAGCACAAAAAAGATAAATGTACAAAAAATAAAGAATAAAAAAAATGCATACA